AAGTTCAGGAAAATGAAGCTCTTGGTGTGTTGACCCAAGAAGAGTCTTTGTTTTCCCTAGAATTTACCCAAGGAGGAGGGTCTTCCGGGGATCTGTCCAGAACACACGAGTAATTTTGGATTGTTTGGTCAGGGGTTGGAGTCTTCTGCAGTGAATACCCAAGAAGAAGAAGACCTAATGGATAACATCTACATCCCCAAGGTAAATTTTATATGGATGAAGGGGAACAAGGGTGGCAGTAAAAATATCTGAAATCCATTTCTTTCATGCACCAATAAATTCACCGAATAAGTTCCTCCAGACGCATGTACCATCCTGCACCACAGTTCAAGTATATATATGTAAATATTATTACCTATCACATGGGTAATCTCAAGTGTCTTATTGAGGTCAACGTCCAAGACATCTCGCCCAAAGAGTCTAGCATCCGGACCTCACGTTTGTTAGCGCTTATAACATCAAGGTGCCAGTGTAAACCGGTAACATTTATTGGAAGGAGCACCTATCAAATCAAATAATAAACATTTTGTCAAGCATAAAAATTTAATAATCAAAGAACAATACATCATTTAAAAAATTGCTACCATGTCATGGTCCAAGTAAGCTAGCACCCTTTGACCTAACCTAGGGGCGCCGGAAAGTGCCACAGCTTAGGGTAATGGCTTCAATTGTTTCATCCTTTTCCCCATCCGCGTTATGAGTGTAGTTATGCACGCACTTTCAAGATAGACCATACCTCCTGGCCTCTTTATCAAACCCTCCTGAGCTTTCAGCAGCTTATATATAAGCATATATGATCTGCATACATTGAGCCATTAGAAAGAAAGGACATTGAAGTTGCCTACGTTTGATTGAGTACTATGACTTGCATCTATCACCTCGTCACACAAGAATTCATATGGCTCAAGAAGACCGTAACACCTCTCGGTGTTATACCATAAATTATTTACTAAAATATGTCATGAGCATCATGTTTATGTGTTAATGCATGTGATAAAGTGTGTAGATCAATTTATGTAACTCAAAACAATCAACTAGAATGCGAAACGAAAGTTGATTCGATAGACATGTTATATCACTTAGGGTTTAAAACCAATTTTTATTAAGCAAAGATGCTATTGAACATGTATGTGGTACTTAAATAAAGTTTGAAGTACAAAATTTGTAGATGACAATGAAATACTTGCGGTCGAAAAATGATATTACTAGCTAATATTTCCACTAGCTTAGAAATCGCAAATAGAAATCAAATTCAGCTCAAAAACTTAGAAATTTTCAAGTCTGCCGATTGTTCGACATTGCTATGTTTATCAATTTATTGTGAGAGGTTGGGTTAAGTAGCGGTATAGTGTTATAGCTCATTTTGGTAGTCTCATTGTTGACACCAATTTTGGCATACCAAAAAATATGTGAAAACATTTATACCATATTATATAAAATGGTATAGATGATCAAGTTTTATATGAATATGATATAGGCGGATATAGGAATAATATAACATCGCTAAAGAGAAAAAGAAGGTGGAGCAAAAGAAAAGGGGACACACATGTACATATATGCATGAGCGTGTTCACGCCTGGAAAGAAAATGAAACTAATGTGTGTGTGTGTATATATATATATATATATATATATATATATATATATATATATATATATATATATATATATATATATATATATATAGGTTGGCTATGAAATATAGTGCACAAATATGCACGATGAGTGAAGGTGTATACCTATATAGAGTTCTGAATTCTAAAGGCGTTGACAAGATAATCTATCGTATAAGTGACGTGGTGATTATTATAAAGGAGAAAGAAAAGATAATGACTTATGCAAATGTATATGCACGTACGAAACAAGTCTGACCATGGATACTCTCATCTACACGGCAAGCGAGTAAATAAGTATTATCACATGTCCTATAAATACACCCGGCCGTAAATGCAAACACATTTTGCACACGCACGGATTAAAGTATGATCCTGCAACGTATAGTATAGTGGTGTATATATACTACCTAGCTTGTAGCGCTACGTATGCCGGCCAGGAGATAAACCTCCCCATTTTCCTTTATTAAATTAATTACTTCGATCTAAAGATAAAGTGGCCCACAAGCCATAGAGAGGGAGCAGACCAAGTCCAAGTCCAAAGACGTTCAAACTTCCACGAACTCCACATCCGGAAAGAGTCCCGCAGTCGCGCGCCAGGGTCATTAGAAAATACGGAGTACTAAATTAAACTCGAGCGCTGGCAACCACTCCCGCCGCTTTAGACCTTGACGTTATTTCAAATCAAAAGAACCGCTGGTTGCTCGGCTCTATAAATATCAGGCTAGCGCAAGCGTTCAGCCCCCTGGCTCTCTAATCCACAGTGCCGTTAGGCTCCCCACCCATACACACACTAGTATAATATCCGTGTTAACGTAACGGATTTATCTTGGAGACGCATATGAAAACAACCAATGTTTTTTTTCCCCATAGTTCACGGTGAGCCGCATCGACGCCCCACCGTGATGATCCACACCTGCAACGTGCTGGGCGCAAGAAGCAGCACGCGTACCTCTCGCCGAGATGGAGCCGTGGGGGCCAAGGTGTCTGGGTTCGAAAAGGTGGACGTCGCGGCTAGGGACGCGAGGTTGAGGAGGTCGGCGATCTGTTCTGTGCCGTAGCTAGGAGCGGTCGCGTCGCTTCTCGCCCGGGGGTGCCGCGGCCTCGATGGGGCGTCGATGCAGCTCTTGCGTCGGGCGTCGCTAGGGCAGGGGGCTCCCGAACGGGGCGTCGCGGAGCCGCAGCTCCGACTCCGTCAGGCGCCTCGTCGCCGAAGAAGGGTTGCACGGCAACCAGGTGCGCGGCCACGCTACGGTGACGTCTAGAAAAAATAAATCATAAAGCTAAAAAATAAATCACCCGATGAAAGGAACACAAATTCACAAACTAACGAAACAAAAAAACACTTGATTTTCACACATCATCCCCTGTACACAATGACAAATACTTAAACCTAGATAGCTGAATTGCAGGAAGCTGCAGGAATGACAAATACCACGATAATTCATATGTGAACATGGGATCTTCGTGGGTATTTGCAAAATCGAGATGCTCGTGGTCAGACTTGGTGTGTGCTCTTCATGATGTTTGCAAAATCGAGATACTCGTCACCAGACTTGCAAAATCGAGATGCTTGTCATCCGCATATGATGATGGAGATCCTAGCATGACCATCGGAGGAAACGTGTAAGTATTTGGCACCAACTTGATTTTCATCAGACAATGATATTGACATTTTCTCGGTCAGTTCAACGGACATGGCTGAGCCCCACATAAACAATGCTACAAGCTAACAGTAATTCAACAATCCATATACATGAAACTAACCTTGCCAAAAACCATATGTAGTATAGGAGGCATTGGTGGTACTCATGTGGTGACTTCAAAGCCATAGAAGCTGCCGACTGGGTCTCTAAATGCACGTGTCTACAAACCATCATCTGTAACCCTGAAACAAAACTCCCACATCAGTACGTTTCGAGCAAACTCCCACAGATGAGCAACTTGCCTAGCTCTCCACCTTTGTAGAACTAAATGAGCTAGCAAAATTTGATGCTGGAAAACAATCATCACCAACCCTTAACCAGCACTTCGTGCTCATGTCGAAAAAATAAAGCATGGTTGCTATGAAGGACGACTAAGGGAAAACAACATCTTGAGAATTTAGCAGATATTACCTTTACTGCACCTGTCGACAAGGCAAAGATAACTACTAAGCGCCAACCATTTCAGCAAACACCTTATGCAGCAAAGTTCAGAATAGCCATCTCAGGTTGTAAGTGAGAACTAAAGACCGGATGAACAAATAATTATCAGCATGATTGGCCGATGACTCATCTGGAGATGCAACCAAAGAAAAAGAAGCCAATGAGGCATATGAAGCCAATGACTTCTTCTCGGCTTTGGCCACGCCATCAGCATCTTTGGAAATACAGGTTGGATAATCTGCAATTTGATTAGTATTTCAGTTTATGCTGATGGATGGAAATCAATTCAGAAATCACTGGCCAACAAAAAAAATGATTGATCAACTAACTAAATAGTATATTGCCCGTTAGTAAAAGTTAATTAATGTAATAAATCAGGAGATACGTATGTCTGCAGTACATTATTCAACACTAACTTACTGCTAGCACAGTGCATTCTGCTATTTTAAAATAACACCACTGTTCTTCTAAAACAGCCAAATTACATTGCAGAAAAAATAATTGCATCCGGTTTTTATCAATGGAACAGGGAAGACATGAGAAGCATGTAACATCAGGAGGAATTCAACAAAAACAAATCATAGAAAAAATAGACAACAAAATTATGAGGCACAACAAAGGAAAAAAGGTTAATTTCGTGAGCCAAGAGATTACATAAAGATAAAACCTTTTTTATTTTCCTTTTGGCAAGACATATCTTCCAGTCATCAATTAAGTTAAAGAGAGTGCCAAGAATTAACAGTCTGGCCCCAAGTCCGTGTGAGTTTGCAATATGCATTTCCATTCTTGATTTTGCACAACCATACTAATCAAATGTATAGACAAACTGCTACCAATTGGAATCTATGATTTATATGAAATGTAAAGCAAATCCCGCCGCAGCAAAACTGCAACTTGCCTGACTTCTCTAGCTATATAATGAGCATTCTCAACAACTTTTAGACTACAACAATCTAGGAAAACAGATAAACCCAATCTGGAACAGACGAGGATACAAAAAGATGGTACCTCCAAGTCGACTAAAAGGGGAACAGGCAACAAATTAGCCTCGCTATCACTACCACTGTACCGCTTTCAAGGGACCACACTGGAGAACATTCGAGGTATGCAGGCAAGCAGTAAAGGTAAAGGTAACACATCCATTCCAACATTGGAGCCGTGACAACCAATTAGGTTGTAACCTACCACCAATTCCTGTAACAACTGACGAGGCGATGAACAGAGCTCATACAAAGTCCCCGTCAGTTGCCTTTTTCTGACATTTTGTCACTCGTCTTGCAAGGACACGCAGTGAAACAACTGAGTCTTACACGACACGGCACCAGAGTCAGAGAATCCACAAGAACACGAAAACGGCATCGACGCAATCCGCACAGGCAGGGATAGAGCACCTGAGGTTCCGAATCGTGGCGGACGACGCGTCCCCGGCATTGCGCCTGATCTCGCACCACGCGACCTCCTCCCCACCGCCGCCGCAGGCCGGCGGCGCGACGAGGGAGCAGACCACGGAGCTCTGTGGTGCCAGCTGTGGCGCCGAATTGGTAGGAGTCGAATCCGTCAAACATGGAGAGGCAGACGTGGGAGAGGAGCGCGTAGCGGCAGTGGCCGGCCTTGGAGTAGGAGACACCAGGGTAGGCAGCCTCTACAGCCGCGGCCAGGTCCCACCCAGCGCACCGGAGGACCTTGGCAAGCGCGCGGGCAAATCGGTGGGCGACGTGGAGCGCGTCGCGGAGGACAGAGTCGAAGACGCCCGCGGACAGCATCGCGCCGACGGCGTCGCCGCCCGGCGGAGGCGCGAGCGCGCGGTCGAGGCGGCCCGCGAGCCACGCGTTGCCGTCGTCGACCGCCTCGAGGTCCAGCCGCAGCGCGATAGCCGCGGCGTCCTTGGCGTCGAGGGCCGCCTGTAGGCGGTTCACCACAGCGTCGAAGGACCGCAGCAGCGCCTGGTTCTCGCACACCTGGGCCTCGAGGTGCGCCGTGAGCGTCCCATCCCCGTCCCCGTCCGGCGAGGGCGGGTCCGCCGGCCCGCCCCTCGCGATCCACTTGAGCTCCGACAGCCGCCGGAGGTGCGAGACCGCGGCGGTGTCCGCGGCCACCGCCGCATCGGGCAGGAACGGCGCGTGGGCGGCCTGCAGGTGCAGGTACGCCGCCTGGAACGACGAGGCCGTCGCGAGCGCCGCAGCGACGGCGGCCTCCTGCCCGGACGCCGCCTTCCCCTCCCCATCCGCGCTAGGGTTAGGGTTCAGCAGCGGGTCAGCCTTCAGCACGACCACCCGCTGCCCGGCAAGGACCCCATCCGCCCCCGGCGCCGGCGAGCGCGCGAATCGGTCGGCGTCCTCGTCCTCCTCCTCCTCGGCGAAGAACTCGATGGTCTTGGTCTTGAACGCGAGCGCGAACTTGTGGAGCATGGCTACGCCCACCGCCGCGCGCTCGGCGCGCTCTCTGTCTCCGCCGCCGAGCGGGGCGGGGTGTCGGCGACGCGAATTGCGGGAGTGCGGGGTGTTGGCGTAGAATGAGGAGATTTGATACACTCAATCTAGGCCCTCGATTGTGTAATGAGTAAGGAGAGAGAAGCTTAGAAGTGCATCCTGGACGGTTTATTTGAAATGTGTTGTTTTGTGGGTATACTTTTGGGGGTGGACTTAAAGAAAACATCTTAGCGGGGAATCGTTTTCTTGTGTAGACGTAGAAAAGAAAAGATGGTGTATTAGTAGGGTAGATAGATACACTCCATAGCAAACACCGCCAACTTCCCACCTCAAACACAAAGACCGTCTCTGGTCGCCTTCCCGCATCATCGGCACACACCGGGAGGCCCTCTCCGCACTTCGTAGCCAGACGGAAGCAGCTACACTCGCTCGTCGGTGCTCGGAATAAGGTGGGAACCCCAATTCTTTTCGGACTCTCAATCGATCTTCAGAGATTTAATCAAGGAGCCCCGCTCCTGTCTCTCTACCTCCTTTTGATCTGCGACAACTTCATCGACAAGTTTCTTGTCCTCCTCCATTCTGGTAAATAGGGCCAGGTGAGGTGGTGCCCCATACATGGACGTCATGTCTTGGTAAAAGGTAAAAAGAGTCGGTAACGGTAGGTCACAATTGCAGCACGCATGGGCTACACGCCCAGGTTAAAAGATGAATGCATTGTGCAAAGGAGTCTCATGCCACAGTAAAGAATCGATTCAACAGAAGACCAAGATTATGCGATGCGCTGTGGGTCTCGTGCCCGCTAAAGATGTAAAAGGCCACAGATGTGCCTCGTTGAAATTTGGGAGCAGACACATTTTGGCTCTGCTTTGATTCATGGTGAAGTTGATATAGACGCGATTTGGCTCCATACCCAAATAAATTTGCATATATTTTGGCCACGGCCCCGCCGGCCTATTTTCATACTGCATCAAAGAGAATAAATAAAGTGCATGCTACGGCCATAAATAAAGTTCGTGCACTAGTTTATATTAAGTTGAAGAAATAACCATCTGTGCATTAGAAATTATGCCAAAAGAAAAGATAGTCATGTACTGCATGTAGAAATATTTAGTCCATGCATATGCAATACGTCGGGAATACTCCTAGCTTCTAGGCATCTTCCGGCACAAAACCAATCATCATTTCAATGTTAAATAGTTATATATTTTTTAAGGTAAGAAAGATCAAATGCATTACACGGTTCATCTCCAAACACACCATTTTGCAACTAAAGGATTTTATTCTAAAATACTGCATGGCTAGCACCTACTTGCACGCCCTAAGTAATAAAGTATCCCAATATGCTCCGCCCGACATGCATACGTGCTGTTGTTTGCCTAGGCAACTGCACAAAAGAATATGATGCCAAGTTAGTGGTCGCATTCAAATTAAAGTAAATTGCATAATATATGCTAATCCATGGTCAAATACCATGCTATGAGTATACACGTTAACTCTGATAAAATAAGTTAACTACATACGTCACTGTCTAGTCTGGTGATGCCACATATCTTTCTAAGCCATAGCAAAATAAAAGTACTGGCTTAGCCCCAAATAAAATATTATATCATATATGTCGAAGCATCCCAATCCATAATCTTGCATGATATAATGAATCACCTGCATATATATATATATATGTATATGTGTGTATATATATATATATATATATTAAGACGTAACTAGGTCATGGCCTAAATAAATAGCACGATATTCATAAAAGCTTTGCATAAACTAGATACATGCACATCGTGGTCTCCTAAAAAACCCAAATAAGCTATCGGTCATTCGTATTTACAAAGAGTGTGCGTTAGTTTGCCAAGAAATGAACTCATGTCATGTTGAAAAGAAATGTCACTTATGCCCCAGATAGGCCCTCTAAATGCTATGCATCACGGCTAACTTAAATCTAGCTCTTTAGTTAGACTGTTCTCATATAAGGTTATGTCTATCTGTAACGAACCAAATTAAATCAAATTAAATAGCATAGTGCATGTGAACCCTTGGTCAAATACCATGTCATGAGCATGTACGCCAACTTTGATAAAACAAATCAACTCCATGCGTCGTGTCTAGGTTTGGCTCAACAACATATCTTCCTAAACCTTGACAAGTGCCCATATAAAATATCGCACCATATGTCGAGTGCATCCACATATATCAAAAACATGTCGATCCAGAATTTTGCATGGCCTGATGAGACTATGTCAAACCTAGTCTTCAAAGTAAACCACGTGCATACACGATATGATGCACTATTCATCCAAGAAATGACCTTCGCCAAATGCAAAACATACTCATGCATCCATCCAAGACTACAAGACTGAAGACTTTGTTTTCTTTTTGTAGTTTGTAATAGGAAGCCATATGATGTAATCTTATTTTTCATGTACTCATGTTGGAACTCTTAATCAGGGGTGTTCTCTATGGAGATGTAATTAACATAATTTTTATGCAAATATAAGAATTATGGAAGTATGGACTTGCAATACACGTTTTTTTTCTTTTTGTCCCAATTAAATTTAACCAAAATCAAATTTGTCTCTGGCGACGTGGAGGCGGGTCATAGCCGCTGCGTCTTCCCCCATCACTCATGTGCCATCTTAAGCATGGTGAAGACGGTTTAGGTTTAGGAGCAATCGTTTGGTCGTGTTGAACGCTTTAAAATTCGTGTGTGTCACTGTCTCGGGTTGGTTGGCGCCATCATGTCACTTCCCATGCTTTCCCATGTCATGTCAGCCACATGGCGCATCCTTGGTCTAGCCGGACGCGGGTCATTGCCCCGCATCGCCTTGGCACCATTGGTACCGCATAATGCCACGCTTACGTTGCCATCGTGTCCCCACCACCGCGCTTCTCGCCATACCATTTATGGCATCATCGCGCCGCCACTTACCGGCTGATGCGGACGCGGCACGGTTGTCCATACCATTTATGTCAACGCCCGCGTGCATGGGTCTCCTATTCCGTCGCTCGCGTCCCCGCCAAGGCATGGATGAGCGAAATTGTAACACCTCGGTGTTACAATCGCACAATCTTTTGCTAAAACACTACATGAGCATCATGCTTATGTGTAAATGTATGAAATATAATGTGTAAATAAATTCCTGTGACTCGAAACGTTCATTGGAAACGTGAAACGAATGTTGTAGTTGATGTCGCGTTATGTCACTTAGGGTTCTAAATGAATTTTTATTGAACGAGAATGCTATAGAGCGCATATTCAGCACTTTAATAAAGTTTGTAGTGTAAGCTTTGTAGGTGGCGGTGAAATACTTGCGGTCCAGAACGGGGTTCGCTAGATAGCTTACTTAATAGCTTGGAAATCGCATTCGACGCGAAACCGTTTAAGACTTAGCCGAAATTCCTAAGTCAGACAGCGCTTTGACGAAGCAAGGTTTGGGAATTTTTATAGGTGAATTGGATTAAGGAGTAGTGTAATTTCATGTTTGGTTTTAGTAGTTTGACATACTATCTCGAGCGTAAAATAGGTGGTGTAGCTACTGGATCATCGGGTTGGATTTTTAAGCAGCTTTAAAAAGCGTGCAAGTCATGTTTTTGAACGGTGCCAGCGCCTGGGCGCGGTCACCCTGCCTGGCTCTCGACGTTGCCACGCCGGACGCCCGACGCGCATGCGCATGCACGCCCACGCGTGGGGCTCCGCGCTGCTGGCCACGGCCTCCTGCTACCGTGCTCTGGCACACGACTCGCACGCACGCTGGGTCCAGTGAGCCTGGTTGCTCTGCCCGCGTGACTTCGCCATCACATTCACGCTCGATGCCATGCCACGTTGTTGCTTCCCCGGACTGGCACCAGCCACTGCAGCGCGTAGTGCCGTGCCGCCATCATCTTGCGAGTCATGGCGCTACGGTCGCACGTCGTCGTGCCGGAGTCGTATGCGCATGTGGAGTCTTCACCATCGCACTGTCGTCCTTCCCTAATTAAAATTGCGCCACTCTAAGCCCTCCGTCACATCGCCTTCAATGGCATCGCGCCGGCCGAGTCGTGCCAAGGCAAAACCCACAGACCTGGTCCCATCCTTGTAATTGCGCACGTCTGGAGGTCAAGTGGGAGTCCAGCTTCGCGCCAAGCTTGCCACTATTGTAGCCGTATGATGTCCGGGCGTCAATTTGAGATTTCCCCTCGCTGGCCACCATAAGATCGAGTTGAGTCGTCTATTCAATTAGCCTTGCGTAGTCCACCTCCTTCTAATTACCCATGCACCCGACTAGCCTTGTTAGTTAGCCAGCGATTAGAGTCGTCCCGGTGAGCTTCCATCCTACAGTGAGGTAATGCGGGGCATTCTCCTCACGACGGTCCACCATGGCCGTCGAGGCGGGTGATCAGCTAGCGCTGTGCTCCGTGCTCCGTTATTTCAATTGAGCGGTGCCTTTGCGTCGTGTTGACTTGGTTGCCTCGCCCGTGTAACAGTTTCGCCGGTGGAGCAGCAGGTCACCGGGGACGCCGTCGCCGTGCTTGCTGTGAACCCGAACGACCTCGTGCTCGTGGCCAACCACCTTGCTGAGTCCCGCGACTTCGTCTAGGCCATCCTTCATGTATCTGGTGAGGCACTTTCGCTCCTAGAGTAGTGGTAGAGGCTTTAGGCTAGGTGATTTCACCGGCGTCGACGTCACCATGGCCAAACCTCGCCGTGGTGCATGGCCACACCTCTGTGTGGCACTAATCTTGGTGTTTATTACCTCAATCGATTGCGCTTCGTTCGTAGAGTGCTAGGGAGGTGATGGTTGAGGCCGAGGAGGTCCGTGCTCGCCGGCGTTTGGCCGGAGATGCCGTGGCCTCTGTTAAGTTCCGGCCAGGGACCTCAAAACGAGAATTCATAGAGAACCGGGGGGTTAAGTGCAAGCGTCAGTGAGAGAGTGAAATAGTGGTAAGCACCGCGGGTTCATTTAGTTGGAAGTCAGGGTCTATTTTGCATAATT